GTGGTTCTGAACGTTCTAGCAGAGAACGCTTCATAACATTTGGAAGAGGTTTTTCTATAGGTCAACCTGTTTAGGTTTAGAACCACTTACAAGAAGTGGGGTCTACTTGGACGCTACAGGAGAATCAAGACCTGTGTGGTTACCTCGGTACGACGGGGAAAGGGAACCTGTGTGGTCACCCTCGAATCTGTGTATTTATCGAACTCAAGCACTAGCGGTTACCTGTGTGGTAATCCAGAAGAGAAGCCCTCAACTGAGGCACACGTAGAAGATGTGCTAAAGCCCTTCCCAGGGAAGGCAATTCAGAATCAAGAAGATTCAAGGAACTAGCAGTAGTCTGTGTGACTATCCAGAAGAACTTTGTGTGGAGACGTGGACTGGTGCAGTCGACAAACAATTGGTTAAGGGCCACCAAGAAAAGGCAAGATGTCATATCGCGAAAACAAAGGATACGAATCGGACTCCGGAGATGAGCCGGTAGGCTATCAAGGAGACAAAGGACACATGACGCCGTTGTCATGGAACGATGCAACCAATGAAGAATTGGATTGGTTCGAAGATGCCAGGAATACGCGAGCCATTGCATTGCGAAGACGACAAAGGGTGGGGAACCTTACAACCCCAGAAGAGCAGCAGGAGCTTCGAGAGCTCGAACATGACATTGAAGAAATTCGATGGGTAATCAATAATAGGAAGGACATTACAAAAGATTTCGAGGAGGAATTCCTAATGCATACAGACCTTCCTAGAGGAGAAGCAATACAAGTCGATCCAAGGCCAGAGGATGCTGAAGGATCAAACAAGGATAAAGCACGGGAGGAATGGAATTCTCTTAGCATCAATCCAAGTCTACTAGGGAGTGGTGATTCCAGTGTCACGCCAACATCGAAGAAACCCTACGATGGGTTAGAATTATGGAAAGAAGTTAGAACGACACCTTTAACCAGGACAGCCTCGGAAGGAGGAAGGCCAGTAACACTATTGGGAGTACCAATCAGGCCGCAGTCGGCCATGGTGCAAACAAGTAGTTTGAGAACTACTGGTCAAAATCCCATCAAAGCACAGTATGATCCTTCAAGTGGACCACCAGTGCATCCAGGACCGATGTGTCTGGAATTCCAGTGGCAGGAATATCTCCTGGAAATGAATCTATATGCGATGTACAATTCTGCACTACCAAAATTGGACAAGGAGGAATTACAGCTAGGAGAAATCCGACCATTCGCAGGAGATAAGCAAACGTTTACGTTATTCCTCCAGGCTAGAGAACGACATCTCCAGGCAAACATCCACATATATGACGATGACTACAGTCAGATAACGTTCATCCTATCCCACTTCGAACCTGGTTCAGCAGCAGCAAAATGGGTCAAATCATGGGAAGCAGTGATGATCGCATCTACAGGAAGAGCGGATGATTTAGGACTTTATCGCGACTTTCGGATGACACTCCAAGAAAAGTATGGAGGAGTTGCAACCAAGAATCAAGCATGGCAAACGTTACTCGACAATCAGTGTAGGCAGAAGAAAGGAAAGGTCGACGATTACATTGGGAATCTCAACATCCTATTTCACTATGCTGAAATCGACGACGACTATACCAAGTTCATTCATTTCAAGCGAGGCTTGGAATCGAAGTTGGCAGAAAAAGTCTTCCTTACTCCGAATCCTCCAACCATGTATGAGGATGCTTGCGACACTGCAAGACAAGTCAATGACCTTCAAAACGTCCATAAGGGAAAAAGCAATATCTTTGATTTCATCATACACGCGATTCAGGGGGGATTCAATGGATGAAGGAGATTCGATGGATATAGATGATCTCAATGCAATGGACATCGACAGGGCACAACGAATACAACAAGTACGGAGCTGTCCAGTCAAGGAACGCCTGTGCTACCGATGCAGGCAGTCAGGGCACGAGATGGATCAATGCCCTGCAAAGAAGCCAAATGTCGATAGAACCCTGTGAAACGCGCAACCCATACAAGTTATCAAATCAACAAAGAAGCAGAGGGCTTCTTCAATTAAGAAGAAAGATGCACACGCATCTACCGGATCAAACGAACCCTTAAAAGATCTGCCGATCATGAAGAAGATGCGGAAGCAGATTGAGCAGCTGGTAACTAAGTTGGTCAATGCGAAACTTGTCAAGCTTCTTCTCGGAACCAGTAGTCGAGACCACCATGTCGATCGAAAGAAGAAGGAAGCTGAAGAAGATGATGACGAACCTATGGATATCGATCGAATGTCTGAAAATATTCTTGGCATGAATACCATTCAGATCGGTGCCATACGTATGCATTCATCACATAATGACCAGACGGCCTTCCCCACATCAATATGGAAGGAAGTACTTATGGCATCGCTCGATCTCAGTCAAAAAGAATGGCATGGTATCAAGGCCATTGTCTAAAGAAAATTTGACAAGAGACAGCAAGGAGATGACGATGAAAGTACTTCGTCATCTACATCTTCCTCTTCAGCAGATAACATGCCCAGCTGGAATATGGAGACATGTCCTAACCAGAAAGGCAAACAGAAGAAGACAAAGCAACGGCAGTCGACTAAGTCAGGCCAGCAGTCTTCACCTTCCATTAACCAATGGATCAATCAGCCATTCAAAGGGACTCGCGAAGACTCTCACCATTCACAACCAGGTCAAGGACAGTTCTCTGGTTGATGCTGAAACTGTAATTGTATCGGACATCGCGAATTTGAATGTCCAAAGCCATCACGGAGGAATGTTACTTCTGAAAACAGTAATCAATCAAGGTCACGACCGTTGCAAAAGCATGAACGATGGAATGCAGGACGAATCCCTGATTCGTTATCACCCAAGCATCCCAAGGCAGCTATGCACAAAACTCCAGTATCGATTCTTCGAATCCAAGCACTGGCAGCAATGCAAAGCAAGGAACTTCTCCAAGTCCCTTAAGCCCTCAAGTGCATCGCAGTGGACGTACCGTCGACTTGTTTAACAGTGATTCTAAATCATCAAGTGCCAATCAGACTTCTTGGGCTGATCAATTCGAAAGGAGATACCAGTCTCTGGGCAGCCCTGCACCGGAACAATCAAGCATCGGCACGAATGATGAATCCTCCGAATCGCATGACAGCTCCATGCATACTGTGTCAAGAATCCTTCCTTCCAGGAAGTGGAAGCACAGACAGAGGAGAAAGGATCTTGTGGTTTAATCACCAAGAGTCTTGGCAGTTGGAGAGGGAAGCTCGTGTTACGAAACGTACCGTCACTCATGGTCACGTGATCCCCATGAACAAGCGCCTAGAAGAGACGCCCAATTATGGTCAGGTGATATCAGTCACTATGTGACCGAGGATAGCTTCTAGGGTTCTCAAGTTCTAACCCCAGGATCTGCGATCCAGGACTTTGGTTCTCATTTCATATTTCAGGTATTTCACCTATGCTTTCTTAGCTCACGAATTACCTGGCTCGCAGCAGCTAAGCTCCGGTGTGTTTCACCTATCTTTATCACTGAGGCAGTGTAGAGGACCCCTCGTACTAGTACCCCAGACTATAGGTCTGCGACTATATAAAGGGGTGGAGCAGCAGCTGGAAGACTAACCTCTTCCACCTGTGACTCTGAATGTTCTCAGTTCTAGAACCCTCATGCAATCGTACTCGCTCTCAAGAGGTAGTAAGCTCATATGCTTGCTAGAGTCAGAACAGCAAACCTAGTAACCTGCAGGTGAACATGCAGTAGCTGTAGCAGCCAAGGCCTAGCAAGGGTAGAGTGAGGACCTCACTGCTACATCGTCTACTAGGCTTGACCACACTATAAACCCTGCTAATAGTCTGCCTGACTATTGGAGACATTAGGTATATTTGGTATCTAAGTCTCTGTCCACATTGTGGACTAGTACGTGTGAGAAAGCACATGTGGTTCTGAATGTTCTAGCAGGGAACACTTCATAACAGTTTTTGAGGGTAAATGTAGTAACATTGATATGCTCTGTTGCCACCTCCCTATGGTTCATGGTCAGGCAGTACCGATTACTTCGTTGTGGAGTGAGGTGAGTATCAACTGCTCTGCTCTGTCTCCAATGACATGATGGTACAGGGAGATGACCCTTTTCTTGAAGGGTGTGAGGCTCACAGGTTTCTTGCTACCGGACTCTGAGATGTGGTTGTTATGGACAGTTGGTGTGTGAGTGGTGGACGAGGGCATTATCCATAGTGTGTGGTTGAAAGGTACGATGCAGATGGCTTTGTTCAGCTGGCTGGCCTTTGAACTGGGGCTAGGGCAGAATGCTGGCTTCGCGCACGTGTGTGTTACCATTTCGAGGAATGAATGTCTTGCATTATGTCAGTCGCGTGCTTCAAATTGATCACAAATGGGGTTTGTGTGCCAATCACTTGATCGCAAATGCTGCTTGAGCACTAACAGATTGTTCGCAGATCTGCTGGGTGTGATCATTCAGACTGGGTGTCTGTCTTGGTGCTAGCAGTTTTTTATTTGGGGTTGTTGGTGCTTTGTTCACAAATTGACTCCAGCACTTGTTTGCTGATCACAAATATGTATTGGACACCGAATCTGGACTGTGAGAAACAAATTCCTAGAATGGACCTCGCTTGTCTGCTATCATTGAGCTCAGCCGAACCTCGTTCGATCCGTTCAATCGCTTTGTTCCCTATAATGTGTGACTGCTAAAGTTCTCCTGGCTCCGATAGACCAAGTTAACTGATGATCTGTGCATAAGAGACCGTACCGAGCCTAGATGATCACCTATATCCCTGGGCTTGTAGTGCGAGTCGTTCATAGTGCTGACTTCATTAATGAATTTATCGAGTTCGATAGAACACAATTAATAGTGAAGCAATAGATAGGTATCAAATATGAGATGTGTAGAGTGGAGTAGTAGAACTGTGGAGGTATGGAGAAGTTCCCTGCTGCGACCTCCCTCCCATCTTGAGTTATTGATTTTTTTTATCGTCAATTGTGACCAGGTTTATATACTAAGATGGACAGCTCATTGCTGAACTGTTCATTGCTATGAGATGTATCCATGCTCTGCTTCCAGAGACTAGAAGCATATCTGAAACATGTCTGAAATCTGAAATGTTTAAGAGAAAAGTAGCTTGTTAACGCCATAACTAATACCCTGCTATCACTACGCTCGTTCGAGCAGTCTGTCCTTGATCATCGGTACCGCCTTCACTCCTCAGTTCTTCTAGAAGGTGCACTGGGCTGTGACTGCCTTCCTGACCATGCCTCACTTGGTCGAGACTGTCTTTGCCAGCTCTGACTGCCTCGTGTAGTACACATGTCTCGGAGGCGGTTGGTATGATAAAGGGTCAGTCGGCCATCCAGGCTTTGCCTGCTGCTTGCCTAGTGCTTCATGCTCATCATGCCCTCCCCACTTTGATCTTGACTGTCCTCGGGCAATCATAACCACATTGGCTGCCCTCTCCTTCTGTCTTGGCTTAACCTCCTCGTCACCACGCTGATTGTTTCAATGGACATGCCAGAATTCCCCCTTAGTGAGTACCCTACTCGAAACATTCTGTTCCTTCTGCACCTGTTTGAGGGGCTCTTGGACACCATTCTCTGCCTTGAGGGTGAGGAGCCACTCTGGTGTTACTATCTTATCTTCACTGATGACTTCATTCATGACGGTGCTCTGGTGAAGAATGGGGTGCATTTTTCACCAAGCTGAAAAATCGGTCGATACGTGCCAGATGTTACCAGACTAGATGCTGAACCTGATCTGGCTGCCCCAGGTCATGTTAGCTTGCACTATAGGCACCCATGGCCGCTTCGTCACTACTGCGGTGCAAATGATCCTTGACCGATACACCTTGTTTGCCAAGCCTGACTGGCTACTGTGATTGTCTTTTATGAACATCGATCAGATCATCCTACTAAAGCGCTTGTCTCTTGCGAGTGAGGCTGTACGGTCTCCAGTGGCAGCCAAGTCAGCTTTCGATGATCTATATATCAAAGCTTTAAAGCAAACTATAGATGGTAATACCACTTGGCAGATGGCTAGCAATAGATGGCTGGTGATTGACCCTGCCAATTCGTCCATTCATGACCTGCACTGCCTGACGACTCCTGTCAAAGTGGAGGGTATCCACTTCTTTTTTACCCAGCTGGATATTAAATGTGGTGAACTCTACCCTCCATTGGGGTTTAGTACGGTGATGGCTTCCTTTGGCTTAATGTTTCCAGGGTTCTTTGTCTGAACGAAGCTGTCGACTAGTACTCTCCTCTACAGCTCTTTCCCTGCATGGCTTGCACCTGAGTGCTTTGCCCCACAGCCAAATTTCATGACTATACACAGGCAATTGAAGCATCATGCCATGCACTCTCCTGAACCCTCTCTGGTGATTCTGAAAGTGAGGATGGCAGCATCGCACCTCTACCCCCCCCTGGATGGATGATTCTAATCTGGTAGCACCGGATGCATTGCCTGATGATGTTGATCTGTCCATTTCTCGTGTGGTTTCTGTGCCTGCATCTATGGATACCAAGCGTTATGCCAGGCTCCTTCTGGCCTATCTAACCGTGAATTGACCAAAGATTCCTGCCTACGACCGGTTGGCCTTGATCTGGTTCAACTGAAAGGGATGCACTTCTGGCCCAGTACGTTCATTAATGCTGTCCTCGTTATTGTGCAACTGGTGACCATTTGTCCCTAGTGTCTTCTGTGCAAGGGGAATTCATTTCCCTGCTTGTTCCTCACTCACCACAAGTGCTGCTTGTTCTGCTCTGTGCATGGTCATGTGTGCTCTGGTCTGGTACAGACCTTAAATTGCCCTGGTTCGTCAGACGCTCTGCTCAGTGACCAATCACTTCATTCTAACACCCTTGCCTCCCTCAGCCAACCCCTCTACCGAGGCAGTCCTCAGTGTGCTCCAGGATGTCAGCCCGACTTCACTTGACTCCTCCTTCATGGAGAGGTTCACGAGTTCGGCTTTTAACCGGAAAATTAATGAACTTGAACTTGCAATAAAGGCCCTCTATTATATTGCCCAATGTCTTCCTTCTGGGTTTGACATGACCACGGTGATTCAGAAGGCCATCAAGAAGCATGGCCCAGAAATTCTGGCCTTGTCTCATTCGAACCTGTTGCTTGACCCGGCCCCTGAGCAGCTCACTCCCTAACCTCGCTCTACCCATCCAGCCCCTGCAACGGGTTTCACTGTTCAGTATGTAAAAGTTGGGTTGAGTAGCTAGTGCGACGAATCCGAGGGAGATGACAGGGAAGACTTCGAATTGTTTCCTACCTCCTAGACCATGTCATTCTCTTCTTGTTCTATTAGTCATCTGCCTGTACTAGCACACTGCTATCTAGCCCATTTCTCTTGTAGCATTCAGTCAATGCTTTATTTGTCAGCCTTGATCCCAGGCTTCTGCAGGCCTGGGCAGCATGAGTCTGACTCATCCTGGTGATCGGTCCTGAGTGAACTTGCTTCTGCCCAACTCTGACCCCACTCCTGCCTTTTAGTTACTTGCTCGCCTCGTTAGTTGCCCTTCACCCCTCTTGCTGCTGTCGAGTTCATTATGCCTCCCTCTCATTCATCATCTCCTGTGCCTGACACCCTCATGCCCCCAGTGGTCGCTGAGCCTGCGGCCTCTGCTGCAGATGCTCCACCCATTACTGAGCATTTTCTTCCAGAGCTCAGCCCTCAACTCCCTTTGTTGCCAGTTATGGTGGTCCCTCCACCACCCCCTGTCATCAAGGAGTCCATTCCATTGGTGACCTTCACATCGCCTGGTCAAGAGCTCTCTGTCGAGGGGCACGAGTCCCTGTGCACCAGCTTCCTGAGTTGCCTGCAGTCACCAGGTATGACACCATTACTCACACTTGAGTTGCTTCACAAGATCCACTGCCTGCTCGTACATCCCTTGGGCTATTTTCCAGGCTCTGCTGGCTAACCGCTTTGTTGAGTACAGAAAAAAACCTTCGAGTTGTGCAAACCTGACTCGGATATCGATTCTTGTATGGCCAGCTACATCCACGTCCTTCGGCCTGTCCTCAATCCCTTCACCACTGTCAATTGGTTGCCTTGGGGCATCCTGTTCCTTAGCCCTTTGCATGTGCAAAAACTTCTCCTGGAGTGCTCGAAGGTAAGTGTCTCTTTCTTCATCACTCCTTTCTCCTGTTAACCCTGCTTGTAGGCTCAATGTTATAAGCTCACTTCTGGCATGGACATCATATGCTGGACCAATAACATTCCCAAGAATGGGGCGCTGCCAGTTACTTGGGACACCCTTGACTTCTTTTCCTCAGATTGTGTTATTGTTCCTCCTGAGGCTCCAGTTGGCGTGCTGACTAGCCCTTCAACCACCCGTGCTGTGAAGGCTGAGCCTGCCCTTCTTCCTGAAGTTCCTGAAGCTCAACCTGAGGTTTTTGTCATTCTGGATGGGCCCCGCCCAAAGGCCAAAAGCAGGCTTCATGTTCGTTCACCGACACCACTGCCTCCCTTGCCTTCCCCATCCGCTTCTTCTCCTGATCATGATCTTTCATCGGAGTCCGAGGCTGCATTGGTCTTAGCTATGCTCAAGGCTCACAGTCTCCCATCTTGCACTGCCAAATCCACTGCCATCAAGTGCATTTAAGTTGAATCAAGTGAGGGGGAGTCCGAGCCTGATGCTCCCAGTGGCATTGAGATGGTGGAGGCTGAGCCCGTCATTGCTGCTGTCGCTGCAGCTTCTTCAGCTAAGGATCCTTCCATGAACCTGCCCTTCTTGATCCAAAACCCAGTGTACCTGCCTATGTACTTCCTGGCCTGGCGTGCACCCATGCACGCTGTCCAGGTACGTCATTCACACTTGGTCAGTCTGGGGCTTGCTAACCCATAGGCTCGCTGTTGACCTATGTCCACAGTGCTACCACTGCTTCAAGCAGAGCATACCAAACTCCTGTTTCTTGATAGAGAACAAGCCCCAGTGACTCAAATGCCAGTGCATTGGTCAGCCGTGCCACTTCTGGAAACTTGAGTCCTTGCCCATTGTCGCCGACATTGAACAGTGGGTTGCCCTTCCCAATGTCTACAAGGCCCATGGTTGGCCTGTGCTGAATACTCCGGTTTCTGAGCAGCACGAGAGCTATTCTTGCATGGCCGAGTTCAATGACCTGTTTAAGACAATGAACATTGAGTTCTGCACGTTGAAGACTCGCCGAGGAGCCTCAGTGATGGATGACAAGCTCTATGATTGGCTGATGCATCACAGCCCCATTCTTTGTATGCATCTCCTGCTCCATCATTCCTGCCTACTAATTGCTCGTGGTCCTACAGTCTCAGCCAGGGACCTTGTCACTGGTCAGCCCAACCCCGAGATTGCCAGGACCATCTCCGAAATGATCGTTCGCTGCATGCCACTCGATAAGCTTCTTCCTCAGGTTTGTAAGGCCGCATGAGTGTCGCGAAATGCGGATGCTGCTTCCTCCTCCCACAAGTCAATGCATGCCTCAACCAAGTCTTATTTGGTTGTTACACCATCAGCCCCTACTCCTGGACCTTCAATCATCTCTGCAGCTGCTGCTGCACCACTGCCCCTTCCTACTGATGCGGAGTCTCTGGCCACCTTCATCAAGGCATTTCGGGAGCAGGATCATGAGGAATGCTGGGCTCACAAGGAGGCTCACAAGGCTCGCAAAGAGTGGAAGTTGCATTAGTGAAGCTCATTTTCTGACATTGGCTGTCGTCCTTTTCACACTCTGGGCCCAAAGTGGCCGTATATTAGTTGCTTGTATCGTAGTCCTCGTGTCACAATATAAAGTGCTGTGTGCTTGAATATTCACATGTCAACCTTCTTAGGTGCAGTTTCTCATATAGAGTGAAAAAGAAAGGTTGCTCCCCTGGCCCTGATCCTATGTACAAGTTCGCAGCTTGACTTGGTCCGGTCTGCCTCCTATCCATCCTCTTCATCATCAGCTCGTTCATTCCCACTTTGTTCATTGTCACTTTCTCCCTGATCTTCTTCTTCCTCCTCATCCCCTGGCTCTTCCACCTTCTTCATCTCTTCTAATCGTTTCTTTGTTATGTCCAATACTTCTTCTGGCATGACAATCTTCTTCCTTGCTAGGAATGGGATGACCCAAAATGCACCAACAGGCTGATCGAGCATGGTGCCATCTAATTTGGCCAGTACATAGGCTCCTCCCTTGTTATGCAGTAGAACTACATATGGCTTAATGTATCATGGTCGCATCTTCCAGTTTAATGCCTTCTCAATCTGCATGAACTGCATGAGGATGAGATCTCCATTCTTGAAGTTGAAATCTTTGACCTTAGTAGGATGGTCCTGCTCATACCTCCTGGCTGCCTCCCGATGTGCTTCATACACTGTGTTGTATATACGTTCAACTTGAGCATGTCGCTTCTGCAAGGCAATCACTCGATAGGATATTAGGTCAGTCAATGAAAGCATCGTTGACGGAGCTGGTGTCAGATATGTTGCTTCGACAATGTCTAACAGGAGGATTGGGTGTGTTCCTGTTACTGCAAAGTATGGTGAACACCCCATCCTTCTCTGCATTGTGATTTGTTTGGCCCAAAACACTGAGTATGCAGCCTGACTCCATCTTCATTCTTCACTGTCCACTGCCTTAAACAGGCTTTGTCAAACATCAAAATGCGGTTGCTCGACAATTCCATTTACTTTGGAATTATAGCTGCTGATATGAATGTGTCGGATATGATACTTTCGTTCGATGTATCTGAGTGCCTTGATGAATGGAGTGCCATTATCTGACACGATTTCCGAAAGCGCGCCCCAATGACATAGAACATCCTTGAAGAGCCAGTCACTAACCGCCTTTGCTGACTCCTGCTGAAGCATTCGAAACTCCGGATAGTGAGTTAGAGAGCATCGTCCTTGTATGATGTACTTGAACCCATTCGATGGTGGCATATGCATCGTATCGATGTAGATTTTCATGAAGATTGGTGCTGGTACTGCGACGACCGGTGGAATGATGATCTGACGAATCTGTCATTGCTGGCACAAGATGCAAGTACAAATATACCATGCTGCATCTGCTCCAATATCTGGCACCAGAACTGTTCTTGGACTAGGGCACATGTAGCAAAGACTCCTTTGTGTCCGCACTCATCATGACATCCTTTGAGCACTTCTAGATGCTTGTCTCCAGATACAACTAGTTTGTGGGCTCCCTGAGGGTCCTTGCATCAAAGCTTTTGGTTACGCATGAAGAACTGGGCTGCATACTGGAGAAGTCATTGATACTGTGCATCCGAAAGGTCCAGTGGCCGTTCAGAATTTTGCAACCACTGGTGTGCTTGCTCCAGCAGCCTGTTGTTTCATTTTGCCCACTCACTGCATGGTACATCAGCATAGGTTACTTTATCCTGAGCAGGTTGTTCCTCCTCAGCTGCTTCATCCAATACGAATGTTGCTTGTGCATGTGACAATGGCTTCGGTAATGTAGTCTGCATTCAGAATCGCAAAATGGGCTGGTCCCCCTCCTCCCCACTTTTAATGTGAGCTTCCCCATTCACTGACTGCGCTGTAAGTGGAGGTGATGCTGGATGTCACAGAATGTGATGCAAGAAGCCATTGACCTGATTGATCCAGTCATCGAAGTCCTCGTTGTCGTAGGTGTCGTCAAGCGTATCTTCAGGCTGTGGGGGTCTGCATGACAATCCATCTGGGCTGTGATTTACACCTGTCACATGACCGAGCTTGAAATGAAACATGAGGATTGCAACGATCCACTGATTGATACTGGCAGAGGGTGCAATGTCCAGATGCTTCAGCATTTCCTTGATATAATGAGCGTCCACTTCGACTATCAGGTTATGTACACCAATAAGGTAAACCTTCAATGCTCGTAGGGCACAAAATAAACCATAGAGTTCGAGCTTGGGCTGGCTGAAATGACCTTCTCATTCATTGAGCATGATCGAGCTGAAGCGGCTAAAGTACTAAACTCTTGGCTTGTCCGGCGTGCACTGGCAGAGTTGGTAGCTGACCACTATGTTTAAAGTGTCAACTGCAAGAACTACAGGTGCTTCGGAATCATAGTCGATCACTTGTAGTGCTGGTGACTCTAGCAGTGCTGCCTTTAGATTCTCCATCGCAGTGATCTGTGCTTCACCAAATTTGAACAGAATGTTCTTTCACGTGAGCTTGACCAAAGGATTCACTCACTTCATAAAGTTCTGTATGAAGATTTTAGCGACCCCGATGGTTCCTAAAAATGCTCAAACCTCTGAGAGGTCTCTGCAGGGCCCCCAGTTCTTAACGGAGGCAACACACAATTCATCCAGTAAACACCCATTCACCATGCACCTATGGCCTATGACCATGATCTCCACACTGCACAATGTAAGCTTCCTTCCTGAAAACATGCCGCCTGCATACTTCATGCACTGGACTACTTGATTGAGGTTCTGAAAGTGCTCCCACACAAATCATCGAATACCAAAATTTTCAGGTATAGTCTTAAATGAACCGTTCGGTCGTTGATACTGTGATGCGGGTCCCTTGACAGGCACATCATTGATGTATGGAACTGTGACATTCGGTATCTCAGGCTGAAGGATATAGGTGACATTGTCATGAAAGATAGGGACTGAATTTGTCCATTCCATTGGCAGTGTCACTAGCCGCAGGACCTCGAACAGTGTCTGAAACATAGTGAGATCTTGCAAGGACTCCGCAATGAGTCATTTGCCATAGTCAATGTAGAGATCAAGCATCACCCCACACGCTCTTTCACTGAACTGTTCGGTCAAGTGCTCAGGTGTCAGCATTACATCTGAATGCTGGATCATCACTGCATTGAGCGGTTCTAGGGTATGAACCAATTGTAAGGACTTCCCATCCTTCTTGACGACACAGAACCACTTCGAGCGATACGATGAATTTGAAGGTTTGTAGACTCCGGCCACCATCTTCTTTCGAATTAGAGCGCAAACTTCATTATAGATGCTCGGAGGTATAGGTATGTTTCGTTCGACCCAAGGTATGTGCGGAATGACTGGAAAATCGATTGGAGGAAAATATTTGGGCTTGAAACAGCTACACTCGGCATCATTCCAAGTGAAGGCTTGATTATGAATGCGCATAAAATAATGCATGAGTGCACGTTCCTGATCCCATAGAAACCCTGTATCATGAACACAGTTCAAAGCCTCCATCTGTTCCTGGGTATAACATTCTTCCAGCATGAATGGTGGAGGCGTTGTCGGTAATGAAGGCATCTGTGTGAGAGGATCACCTGTGATCCTTTGCATAATCCTAAATGATTCTGGCATGGTGGTCAAGACCGGCTTTGTTTTGAATGCGACTGGCTTATATTTCTTCTTTGTGGCTGCAAATGCTTTTGCTGGCCGCTTCGTTGATGTGGACCTCACTGGCGTTGACTTCAGTGACACAGAATTTGTAGGACTAGAGGCTGACTTCGAGACCAATTGACTGAAAAATAACTGACAGAGACATGATGCTGGGATATTACTGGATGATGTAGATGGGATATATAAGGAACTGATAGCTGAGAGTGCCCCTTCCGAGGCCTGGATGTAGCGCGATGTGATAACGATGTGATTGAAGGATACAACTGGGGTATATGCGACGATTACTGGATCCTGATCAGGTGCCTGTTCAATGAGTATGGCCAGTGCATCTTCTGTGCTATGTGTATCCTCCACTAGTGAAAATCCTGCTCGCTGGGTTTACCACAAAACTTCAGAGGACCATGCAGTACCGTAGGTATCATTGCGACTTGTCCTGTATTGGGACACACGATCGTGATTGTCTGCTTTTCATCAAAGAAGTTTTTAACAACACTCTCGGTGAGCATGTCAAATGGTCTGCCCAATAGGATGTCATATGCTGCTGCGCGGATGATGTGAATCTGGAAATATAGAATGATCTCTCCGATCTGAAACAGAATGTTGTGTACAATACTGAGGGACTGATTGACTTCACCATTCGTGGACTGCATATTCAACTTGACCGTAGGACTGTAAATAAGTCCTAGAGCATGGCATACATTCTCTGACATCGCAATGATCTGGCATCCTAGGTCAATGATGGCCTCGACATTCTCCTTGTTGTCAACGAGGCCAATGACTGAACATAGTGCATGCGACTCCTTTGCCACCATAAGCTGGTCTGGCTCACTGTGCTTGTGTATATGATGTAGGTAAACTTCGTAGGGATCTGGCACTATTGATCTGTTCGACCTTAACAGCTCGCCGATGCCTTCAGTGCGTACTCTTCATCCACAACCTCCTCGACTGATGCGCTGTTACGAAGCATACCGTCGCTCATGGTCACGTGATCCCCATGAACAAGCGCCTAGAAGAGACGCCCAATCACGGTCAGGAGATATCAGTCACTATGTGCCTGAGGACAGCTTCTAGTCACTATGTGACCAAAGACAGCTTCTAGGGTTCTCAAACTCTAACCCCAGGATCTGCGATCCAGGACTTTGGTTCCTATTTCATATTTCAGGTATTTCACCTACGCTTTCTTAGCTCGCCAATTACCTGGCTCGCAGCAGCTAAGCTCCGGTGTGTTTCACCTATCTTTATCACTGAGGCAGTGTAGAGGACCCCTTGTACTAGTACCCCAGACTATAGGTCTGCGACTATATAAAGGGGCGGAGCAGCAGTGGGAAGACTAACCTCTTCCACCTGTGACTCTGAACGTTCTCAGTTCTAGAACCCTCGTGCAATCGTACTCGCTCTCAAGAGGTAGTAAGCTCGTACGCTTGCTAGAGTCAGAACAGCGAACCTAGTAACCTGCGGGTGAACGAGCAGTAGCTGTAGCGGCCAAGGCCTAGCAAGGGTAGAGTGAGGACCTCACTGCTATATCGTCTACTAGGCTTGACCACACTATAAACCCTGCTAATAGTCTGCCTGACTATTGGGGACGTTAGGTATATTTGGTATCTGAGTCTCTGTCCACGTTGTGGACTAGTACGTGTGAGAAAGCACACGTGGTTCTGAACGTTCTAGCAGGGAACGCTTCATAACATTTGGAAGAGGTTTTTCTATAGGTCAACCTGTTTAGGTTTAGAACCACTTATGAGAAGTGGGGTCTACTTGGACGCTACAGGAGAATCAAGATCTGTGAGGTCACTTCCAGGACCTGTGTGGTTACCTTGGTACGACAAGGAAGGAGAATCTGTGTGGATTCAATCAAATCTGTGTGTTTATCGAACTCAAGCACTAGCGGTTACTTGTGTGGTAATCCAGAAGAGAAGCCCTCAACTGAGGCACATGTAGAAGACGTGCTAAAGCCCTTCCCAGGGAAGGCAATTCGGAATCAAGAAGATTCAAGGAACTAGCGGTAGTCTGTGCGACTATCCAGAAGAACTCTGTGTGGAGACGTGGACCGGTGCAGTCGACGAACAATTGGTTAAGGGCCACCAAGAAAAGGCAAGATGTCGTATCGCGAAAACAAAGAATACGAATCAGACTCCGGAGATGAGCTGGTAGGCTATCAAGGAGACAAAGGATACATGACGCCGTTGTCATGGAACGATGCAACCAATGAAGAATTGGATTGGTTCGCAGATGTCAGGAATACGCGAGCCATTGCATTGCGAAGACGACGACAGCTGGGGAACCTTACAACCCCAGAGGAACAACAGGAGCTCCGAGAGCTCGAACATGACGTTGAAGAAATTCAACGAGTCATCAATAATAGGAAGGACATTGCGAAGGATTTCGAGGACGAATTTTTAACGCATACGGACCTTCCTCGAGGAGAAGTAATACAAGTCGATCCAAAGCCAGAGGACGCCGAGGGATCAAACAAGGATAAAGGACGGGAGGAATGGAACCCTCTCGGCATCAATCCAAGTCTACTAAGGAGTGGCGACTCCAGTGTTACGCCAACATCCAAGAAACCCTACGATGGGTTAGGATTATGGAAAGGAGTCAGGACGACACCTTTAACCAGGACAGCCTCAGAAGGAGGAAGACCAGTAACACCACTCGGAGTACCAATAAGGCCACAGTCGGCCATGGCGCAAACAAGTAGTTTGGGAACTACTGGTCAAAATCCCATCAAAGCACGGTACGATCCAGCCAGTGGACCACCAGTGCATCCAGGACCGACATGTCTGGAATTCCAGTGGCAGGAATATCTCCTGGAGATGAATCTCTATGCGCTGTATAATTCTGCACAACCAGAATTGGAAAAGGAGGAATTACAGCTGGGCGAGATCCGACCGTTCGCAGGAGATAAGCGAACATTTATGTCATTCCTCCAGGCTGGAGAACGACACCTCCAGGCAAACATCCACATATATGATGACGACTACAGTCAGATCACGTTCATCCTATCCCACTTCGAACCTGGTTCGGCAGCAGCAAAATGGGTCGAATCATGGGAAGCAGCAATGATCGCATCTACAGGAAGATCGGATGATCTAGGACTTTATCGCGACTTTCGAATGACACTCCAAGAAAAGTATGGAGGAGTGGCAACTAAGGACCAAGCATGGCAAACGTTACTCGACAATCAGTGTAGGCAGAAGAAAGGAAAGGTCGACGATTATATCGGGAATCTCGACATCCTATTTCGCTATGCTGAAATTGATGACGACTACACCAAGCTCGTCCATTTCAAGCGAGGCTTGGAATCGAAGTTGGCAGAAAAAGTCTTCCTTACTCCGAATCCTCCAACCACGTATGAGGATGCCTGCGATGTGGCAAGACACGTCAACGACCTTCGAAATATCCATAAAGGAAAAAGCAATATCTTCGACTTCATTACACATGTGGATCAGGGCGATTCACTAAATGAAGAAGAATCGATGGATATAGACGATCCCAATGCAATGGACGTCGATAGGGCACGACAAATACGACAAGTACGGAGCCTTCCAGTCAAGAAACGCCTATGCTATAGGTGCAGGAAGCCAGGGCACGAAATGGATCAATGTCCCGCAAAGAAGCCAAACATCGATCGCACCCTGCCCGTACAGGCTGTATCAAAGAAGAAGCAGAAGAAGACTTCTTCAATTAAGAAGGAAGATGCACGTGCATCTAACGGATCAAAAACACCCTCAAAAGATCCGTCGATCACAAAGAAGATGCGACAGCAAATTGAGCAACTAGTAACGAAGTTGGTCAATGCAAAACTTGTCAAGCTTCTTCTCGGAGGTGACAGTCGAGACCACCATGTCGATCAGAAGAAAAAGGAAGCCGAAGAAGAAGACGATAACGAACCTATGGATATCGATCGAATGTCTGAACATATTCTTGGCATGAATACCATTCGAATTGGCGCCATACGTACTCATTCATCGCATCACGATCAGACGGCCTTCCCTACGACAATATGGAAGGAAGTACTGATGTCATCGCTCGATCTCAGTCAAAAAGAATGGCGTGGTATCAAGGCCATTGTCCAAAGGAAATTTGACAAGAGACGACAAGGAGATGACGATGACAGTACTTCATCGTCTACATCTTCCTCTTCAGCAGACAGTATGCCTGACCAGCATATGAAGACGTGTCCTAACCAGAAGGGCAAACAGAAGAAGACAAAGCAGCGGCAGTCGACCAAGTCTGACCAGCAGTCTTCACCTTCCATTAACCAATGGATCAATCAGCCATTCAAAGGGACTCGCGAAGATTCTCGCCGTTCACATTCTGGACAAGGACAGTTCTCTGGTCGATGTTGGAATTGCAATCGTATTGGACATCACGCATATGAATGTCCAAAGCCACCTCGGGCGAACGATACTTCTGAAAACAGTAATCAATCAAGGTCACAACCATTGCGAAAGACCGACCGATGGAATGCAGGACGAATCCCTGATTCGCTATCACCTAAGCATCCCAAGGCAGCCTATGCACGAAACTCCAGTATCGATTCTTCAAATCCCAGCACTGGCAGCAATGCGAAGCAAGGAACTTCTCCAAGTCCCTCAAGCCCTCAGGTGCATCGCAGTGGACGTACCATCGAGTTGTTTAACAGTGATTCTGAATCATCAAGCGCCAATCAGGCTTCCTGGGCTGATCAAGTCGAAAGGAGGTACCAGTCTCGCGGCAGCCCTGCGCCGGAACAATCAAGCATCGGCACGAATGATGAATCCTCCGCTGAATCACACAACAGTTCCACGCATACTGTTTCAAGAATACTCCCTTCCTCGAAGCGGAAGCACCGCCGGAGAAGAAAGGATCTTACGGTTTAATTGCCAAAGGGTCTTGGCGGTTGGAGAGGGAAGCTTGTGTTACGAAGCATACCGTCGCTCATGGTCACGTGATCCCCATGAACAAGCGCCTAGAAGAGACGCCCAATCACGGTCAGGAGATATCAGTCACTATGTGCCTGAGGACAGCTTCTAGTCACTATGTGACCAAAGACAGCTTCTAGGGTTCTCAAACTCTAACCCCAGGATCTGCGATCCAGGACTTTGGTTCTTATTTCATATTTCAGGTATTTCACCTACACTTCTTAGCTCGCCAATTACCTGGCTCGCAGCAGCTAAGCTCCAGTGTGTTTCACCTATCTTTATCACTGAGGCAGTGTAGAGGACCCCTTGTACTAGTACCCCAGACTATAGGTCTGCGACTATATAAAGGGGCGGAGCAGCAGTGGGAAGACTAACCTCTTCCACCTGTGACTCTGAACGTTCTCAGTTCTAGAACCCTCGTGCAATCGTACTCGCTCTCAAGAGGTAGTAAGCTCGTACGCTTGCTAGAGTCAGAACAGCGAACCTAGTAACCTGCGGGTGAACGAGCAGTAGCTGTAGCGGCCAAGGCCTAGCAAGGGTAGAGTGAGGACCTCACTGCTATATCGTCTACTAGGCTTGACCACACTATAAACCCTGCTAATAGTCTGCCTGACTATTGGGGACGTTAGGTATATTTGGTACCTAAGTCTCTGTCCACGTTGTGGACTAGTACGTGTGAGAAAGCACACGTGGTTCTGAACGTTCTAGCAGGGAACGCTTCATAACATGCGCTCATAATCTGAGGTCCTGGCTGAATCCTCTCCAGTGTACAAGCTTTGCAATATTTTGAGCGTACATCGGATGAGATTGAGAGTAGTTCCTCGAGTGACACTGAGATAGCTGATGACTTCATGGATTTTTTGAAGACTTCGTCCGCTAGCTTCAGCTGATAGACTGGAGGAATTGTCCAATATGCCAGAGCCTGTTCTCTGGGTGAAGATGCCCCATAGTTATGCTGCATGGGTGGGACATAGGTCGCATCCTGAACTGCTCGATAAGGATGTTCTGAAATGACTGCTTCATCCCGCTGGCTCGTCGAAGCTTCCGATACCTTCATGGGCTCTGCTGCTCAAGTCAGCTCTGGCTGTGCTACTGGCTAAACAGGTGGTGCTGGCTGTGCTGGCTTTAGTGGTCTACATATCTCGACTCCGTCAAACACCTGTTTCTTTCATAGACTGAGCAGTTCACATTCGAGGGCCTGGATGTGCTGTTCACCCATTAACGAGAATGTGCTGGCCTTTTTGACTTCAAATAGGTTTGTGGCCACTGATATCGAGGCTTGAGCAACTGCGGGACCTATGCCTGTTGCATTCTGTCTCCTATGCCACTTGTAGATGTGATCTCAGATGGTAAGACCTGGGATGTTCTGAGAAATGAACACTCCATTCAGAAGGATGACCTTTCCATCCATGTTCCTCAGACACTTCCCACTCTTAATGTCCTTCTCAACATGCTTGCACGTCCCAATCATGCCACCTGATTCCCCACAATAATGGCAATAGCTATTTGGAGGTGCGGTCCCATACATTTGCCTTTGCACTGGCACTGCAGTGCTCCAGTTGGCCTTTATTCCAGCTGTTGCATTCATAGACATCACCATGAGTGTCTGGACTGATTTCACAAGGCTCTCGATGAGTAACGATATGTCCTCCACTTTGATTGCAGCTGTCCGTCCTTCAGCCTTGGTCTCTGCTTTCACTACACTCCCTCTGATACTTGCTGAAGGTACCATTGCAGTGCTATGTAGAATGAACTTTGCTGCATCGTAAACATCATTGACATTGTATGGGTCATCCAGGTAGTGGTTGGGTTGCTTGAGCTGCAGTCTCTGTGATATCCTGATCCACAACTCAGACTGGAACCCTCTGACGAATGCGCATTTTGTTCCGAAACAGAAATGCGGTCCTTGCCGATCAGGAATGTAGTGATCATAGGAACTCTCAGTGGTATGCTCTGAGTTCTGAAACATTCTGGATTCCTAGTCTAGAACATTCTCCTACAAGCAGATCCATGTCTCGGACTTCCCATTTTCACTCATTATCGGCACCTGGATATAGTGCTTGGATTCGAGGCTTAAATTGTGTATATGGAACGAGAGGGTCATCATAGCCGGCTAGGCTCAAGATGAGGTCCACGACATCGATGGGCAAGTATCTGGTTACCCATTTCTTCTTTTTGACCTCGTCGTTAACATTGCAATGTGTGAATAAGATTTCGAGATCGTCGAAGTAACAGAATAATGTGCGTGGGTGATCTGGGTCAAACATTGCTGCTGAACGATCTCCTCAAAATGGCATTTGATAGGTTACCGTGGCTGCCATCGCAATGATATGTCCTATCGAAGTAGTTGTTGGCAAAGTGTGCATAGAATTTACTGGAAAAGTGACTAGGACTGGTGATGGGACTCATAAAAGCGATGCCAGTGCTGCCTCGAGCTCATCAAGGAGTGATCTTCCTTCTGGGATCTCATCTGGTATGCTTGGTGAATGTGAAACGTGAACTGTTGAAACATTTAATGAAGGTGGCATGAGATCAGAATCCTCGCCGAAGATCTCGGGATGATTGCCTTGAGTATCTTGTTCTCTAGGTGATAAAATGCATGGCAAAGATCTTGAAACAGATCTCAGCTTGTAGTTTGCCAAGTATGGTCGACCTTCTTCGCCACATTCGAAACCTGCTTGCTGAAATTCTAGAAGCTGGGCAAGCCTGCTATTAAAGGAGGAGAAGATGCCCTCCCAGTTCATTTTGGTAATGGCTGCAAGTCTGGTGCAACGTAAACCTGCTGCTAAATCTGACCTCTGAAACCCCTCGTAGTGGGCTCCAGTATGATATGCTCTGTTGCCATCTCCCTATGGTCCATGGTCAGGCAATACCGATCACTTCGTTGCAGAGCAAGGTGAGTATCAACCGCTCTGCTCTGTCCCCGATGGTGCAATGGTATAGGGAGATGACTCTTTTCTTGAAGGGTGCGAGGCCTGCAGGTTTCTTGCTACCGGACTCTGAGACGTGGTTGTTATGGACGGTTGGTGTGTGGGTGGTGGACGAGGACATCATCCATAGTGTGCAGTCGAAAGGTATGATGCAGATGGCTTTGTTCAGCTGGCTGGCCTTCGGACTGGAGCTAGAGCAGAATGCTGGCTTCGCACACGTTATCATTTCGAGGAATGAATGTCTCACATTATGTCAGTTGCGTGCTTTGAATTGATCACAAATGGGGTTCATGTGTCAATTACTTGATCGCAAATGCTGCTTGAGCACTAACAGATTGTTCGCAGATCTGCTGGGTGTGATCGTTCAGACTGGGTGTCTGTCTTGGTGCTAGCAGTTTTTTATTTGGGGTTGTTGGTGTTTTGTTCACAAATTGACCCCAGCACTTGTTTGCTGATCACAAATATGTATTGGACACCGAATCTGGACTGTGAGAAACAAATTCCTAGAATGGACCTCACTTGTCTGCTATCATTGAGCTTAGCCGAACCTCGTTTGATCCGTTCAATCACTTTGTTCCCTATAATGTGTGACTGCTAAAGTTCTCCTGGCTCCAATAGACCAAGTTAACTGATGATCTGTGCATAAGAGACCATACCGAGCCTAGACGATCACCTATATCCCTGGGCTTGTGGTGCGAGTCGTTCATAGTGCTGACTTTGTTAATGAAGTTATCGAGTTCGATAAGTGTCACAGTATTAAGTGGCACCTTTCTTTTTGCACCATTAAAGTCCTCATTTGAGTGGTTATTCGGATGCCAACCTTCATATTGGTCTCGCAACGTGGATACTTGGACAAACAGCACAATGCCGCCACATACATCACGGACATGACTGTGTCTACCACATGACCACCAAGCGCCCATGATTCAGCCACCCAGTCACGTGACACTGGCCACTTGCCCTATTTGGAAGTTGTTAGGTGTTGGTCATGTGACACCAGGCCACTTGCCCAGAAAGGAACCCATTGGACCATCAAGCTAGCAAGCACCCAATTCGCCACTCAAGATAGTGGCACCACTTTTCTGCCTAAACCAATAGGCAGATACCACAACAGAGGATCCCCCTACCAACTGGCATACAGTATAGCCAGGTACAGGATAGGCTAGATCTTCTCACAACCCTATCCAGATGAAGACTGATCGTCACACTCATTGTTCTGAGTTTGGACAGATCCTCTCATCTGATGTTGCAACCGTTGTGATGTGCTCTGTTGGCCATCATTCATTGGCCCCTCAACAGTGGGCCCACTTACAGGCATTTATCTCATTGGATTAGATAGGATTACCTCGGCGTATCCACGGCCATTGTAGATAGTTGCTATGACGAAGTCCAGAACCATTACCGGTTCTGGCAATATGTTCACATGTAGGTATCTGAGGTCTCACAGTAGCACAGTGCCAGGGGCCCTGCCCTACATGTATATAAGCCCATGAGGATCTAAGGGAGAACCTTAGATTCATTATTCTATTGCATGCGGCCTAACAAGCCAATTCACCCCCTAGTTGTGAGCATAAGGCTAAAGGCCCTTTGAGCCCTTTTTCAGACTGCATACCACTGCGCGCATCCTCATCCTAGCCCTTGTGGCAGGCTTTTTATGTGGGATCATTTGTGCAGGTCACAAAAGCAGACTTGCCCTTAATTGGGTTAAGTGCTTTGGTGCTTTGTGACAATAAGACATAATTAATAGTAAAGCAATAGATAGGTATCAAAGATGAGATGTGTAGAGTGGAGTAGTAGAACTGTGGAGGTATGAAGAAGTTCCCTGCTGCAATCTCTCTCCCATCTTGAGTTATTGATTCTTTTTTTTTATCGTCAATTGTGACCAGATTTATATACTAAGATGGACAGCTCATTGCTGAACTGTTCATTGCTATGGGATGTGTCCACGCTCTGCTTTCAGAGACTAGAAGCATATCTGAAACACATCTGAAATCTGAAATTTGTAAGAGAAAAGTAGCCTGTTAACGCCGTAACTAATACCCTGCTACTGCTACGCTCGTTCGAGCGATCCGTCCTCGATCATCGGTATGGCCTTCACTCCTCAGTTCTTCTGAAAGGTGCACCGGGCTGCAGCTGCCTTCCTGACCATGCCTCGCTCGGTCGAGACTGTCTTTGCCAGCTCTGACTGCCTCATGTAGTACGCATGTCTCGAAGGCAGTTGATATGACAAAGGGTCGGTCAGCCATCCAGGCTTTGCCTGCTGCTTGCCTTGTGCTTCCTGCTCAGCCCATTCCCATGCTCATCAATGTTACCCTTCAAAGCTGTTTGTAAGAAATCCTCCTTTATCGCGGTCGATGGGTCCTTTGGATACAACTTCACGGTGAACATCCAAGGATAGAGTAATGCAATGAGCTGCTCTTCGAGCAAGGTAAGCTTTGCAAGCTCCCAGGGAATGCTTCCTAACCACAGATTGTTCACTAAAGACCACCTTGCAATTTGACCATCCCTGCACTCGTTGTTCAAATCTGACATGCATTCAGCACAGATGTCCATGATCTTTTCTTCCTCCATGTCACGAATTGCTTCTCGTGCAAGCATAATGCCATCTACCATGTCATGGAATGGTTCGATGGTCCACGGAATGAGGCATTTGTGATTTGGTATTTGACTCACAGAAACTGGCTGAGTCTCTAATAATGACTGCAGCCCCTGTCGACCACATACACCGCAGATCGTCAACCTCAGTGCTTCACTTGAAATCAAATCCATGAACTGCCTGTGGCATTCTCTGTGTTCTTCTTCTGTCAACAATGATAGAAATGTGCTTTCTTCTGCATGCCTTTCACTCACCTTGCTGTCTTCTGTCTGCACTGCGCTTCTATTTGCATGTTGTCGACCATCTCGCTGCTCCCGTTCCCTTTCT